TTTTGCAACCACTGCCCTAGGCCCGTTTGACCGTATTCGGTCCGCGAAGTGGCGGGCGCGCTGTTTACGTTTCCGGTGTTAAACCTTCTTCAGGGTCGGTCAGAGCTGACGATGAGGTCGATCTGGATGGTACCGTGGAAGAGGACCTGGGTAAAAGCCGAGAAGGCTCACGGACAGACGATGAAGTAGTACAGAGGTCTGTGTTCGCTTGAAACTATCGATAAGGCTGTGGGATACGGAACTTCTCCTTTGTTTCTCCTCCATGGTCGCGGTTGTGACCTCCCGTACTTAAATGTAGACAAAATGGTTATGTTGCCGGCGCGGAGTTACATGCGCGACTGTCTCGTCTCGCTAAGTGCCTAATGTGCCCCTAGGAACGACTGAGCGCAGAAATTGACTGAGGTTGAGAACGAGACCCAAGGGGAGAGTGATTGCCCAGCATACCCAAGACCCTGGGTTCATACCCCAGCAGCCACCAGTGAATTTTTAAAACTCTCGGATAGCTGTGTTGTAGAATATTAGTGCTGTACATTCTGTAGAACCTCAGGAAAGACTTTCAGGTGGTTTTGTACCCGTTGTGAATACTTCTTTTAACAGAGCTTACAACCTTGCTTCTTGGATCTTACTGACAGTTTTGATGACCTTACTTGTGACTTTGCTTTTTAATAAATGCAAATTAGATTTATTTTTCTGGCAATGTTAGGAACCAAGCTCTTCCAACCCGGTTCCTACAGTTACAGCACTGTCATGAGTTGGTCTATTAGTGCTGCTTTATAAAGATTCCTATTTTACCCTTTTAACCCTAAGAGAGCCTTCAAAGGCCTCTTGCAACCCTCGTCACAGAGCTTGTATTTTTGAAGAGAACTAAGTAGTACTTGCTTATTAAACCGATTTCCCTAGGGAGGAAGAAGCCATACAGTTGGATGGATTAAATGCATCACAAATACGAGAACTTAGAGAGAAATCTGAAAAGTTTGCCTTCCAAGCTGAAGTTAACAGGATGATGAAACTCATCATCAATTCACTATATAAAAACAAAGAGGTAAGCAGTTACATGGCTGGGGTGATACTCCGCCCTGGTAAGCTGCAGTAACAAGTATTTAAGTACCTGATTAGCAGCGTATAAATGCTCAGCACACACAACAGTTGCTCTGATGGATTTTGGAGAGAATGAATGTAAAAGCCTCTTTTCCCTTCCGCCTGTGTTCGCAGCCTGCTCAATGCTATAGCTGCGTCTTAAGTGTACTCACAGGAACTTAAGCTTTCCTGCATTGCAACCACTGGTATGCAGATCGCTGGCAGGACCCTAGTGTTGGCTGCTGTTAGCATCTGGGTCTCCTGCATTTGCCACAGTGTTTTATGTAGGGGGCTGTACCTCCTTTCATGGACAGTAAAACCTTCCCTGTACCATAAGAAGTTTATTAAAGAGTGGACTTGACACTGTTTCTTGAGGTTAATCTAAGGGTGTTCAATCTGGCTTCCATTTAGATTTTCCTGCGAGAGCTGATTTCAAATGCTTCCGATGCCCTTGATAAGATAAGGCTGATATCGCTAACTGATGAGAATGCACTTTCTGGAAATGAAGAACTAACAGTCAAAATTAAGGTAAGCTTAAGACAAATTTTCTTTTTAAAAAAAGAATCCTTTCAGATTGAGAATTCGTATAGGCTGGGACAAGTAACCCTCAAGGCTTTGTGGTTACCTTAGGAGTCAGCAAACTGGCTTGTGGGCCAAATCGGATTCTGCCTGTTTTTATAAAGTTTTATTGAAACACAGCCATACCTGTGTGCATCTTAATGGTTGCTTTTGTCTACAGTGGCAGTAATTACTGTGACAGGGACAGTATGGCTTACAAAGCCTGAAAGCACTACCTGGCCTATACTGGAAAGTTAGCCGAGCCCTGGCTCAAGTCATTCTGAGGGCTGCAGTGCCCTCATCCTCTGTCAGAACTGATCCAGCAGCTATCTGGAGTGCAGCTGGTTGCCATGGTGCAGAGAGACACAAGCCAATCAAAGGCTCAGCCTGGAAGCGGCACTCCTGACTCCCACCTGGGACTCTGTGTCTCTCCCCCGTAAATGGAGGAGCTGAGTCCTACTGTGTTTCTGGAGACCGTGTGGAGAATATTCAGGATGGACAAATCCAAATACAGGAGGCACTCAAGTTTGGGTTTTTTGTTTTGTGGTACTGGGGATTGAACTCGGGTCCTTGCACCTGCAAGGCAGGAAGCAGAACCACTGAGCTGAATCTCTGGCCCTGTAGTCCTTTCTATTTCCTATACTAGACAGACATCACATTTTATTTTTCTAGAGTTTTCTGCACCCTTCAGAATGCATTGAGGGCCAAGGATGTCGGCGGTGGTAGAGCGCTTCCCCTTGCATGTGGCCCCGGCATCCTTGGCGTAGTGGTGAAACTAGTGGTACTCAGTCTCAGCCCATGTGCTGAACTTGGGAGTAGGCTTTGTGAGGAAAGATATGTGTACTTAGAGGCTTGCACTTTCTAAACTGGCTGTAAAATTCTCAAAGACAAGAAAAGAGCTGTGTGGTTTCTTACCTTAGCATTGACAAGGCCCATAGGGCTCGCTTTGGCTTGGCTGGGGCGCAGTACGCGGGTACAACGATCGGTTCTTCTCTCGCTGACCCTCAGTGTGACAAAGAGAAAAACCTGCTGCACGTCACGGACACCGGGGTAGGAATGACCAGAGAGGAGTTGGTGAAAAACCTTGGTACCATAGCCAAATCGGGGACAAGCGAGTTCTTGAATAAAATGACTGAGGCCCAGGAAGATGGCCAGTCAACCTCCGAGCTGATCGGCCAGTTTGGCGTCGGCTTCTATTCCGCCTTCCTCGTGGCCGACAAGGTCATCGTCACATCGAAACACAACAACGACACCCAGCACATCTGGGAATCGGACTCCAATGAATTTTCAGTAATTGCTGACCCGAGAGGCAACACCCTGGGACGGGGAACAACAATTACGTGAGTGTTACTGGTTCCTAATGAGAACCGGGAGCCATAGTGAGCAGTTCTGGTGCTCTGAGCAGAGGGCTTAGTTGGGCCTAATTTCCTTGCCTGGAACATGAGGGATAGACTCTCCTCATTGGAAGAAATATTTGAGGACTGCCAAGGGCTGGGGACACAGAATTCTGGGTGCTGCTGGACATGGCATAAAGTGAGGGTGTCGGCCCCGGGGGAGAGGGGGCTGGGGCTGGGGCGAGCTTCCGGGTCAGGGAAGGTGCCCTGGTCCCTGGACGCAGGCCGGGAGCTGTGGTTCATTCATTTACAAGATCTGCAGTTGGTCCTGGGTTTGGACTTGGCCTGGAGAAACTAGGGAGAGGGAGAAGGGCTTTAAAAATGTGAATGAAGGTAAGAAAAAATGACTCATTCGAGGATGTCTGCAAGTTCAGCAAATTGGAATTGGATTTCTTTTAAAGCAGTTCACTGTCCCTCTTCTTGGTGAGTCCCATCTCTCCTGTAGCACGCTATGAAACCACCAGGAAGCTTTCTTCACTTTTGCAGCTTTGGAGGTGAGGAGGTTTGTCACAGGCCACTGATTGGGGTGTCCTGCCACAGACGAGAATGTACCTACAGCCCCTTTTCTGTGTGTTTGTTTGCTTTTAATTTTCTCCACGTTAGAGTCCTTAAATCTTCCAGTAGGAGCTGGCATGGTGGTGCGCCTGCAGTCCCAGCGCTTGGGAGGCGGAGGCAGGAGTCAGGATTCAGGGCCGGCCCAGGCAATACTGGAACAGCCCCGAAAGAGGGGGAAAAGCAAAAAAAAACCCAGTGTGAGAGGAACCTGTACTTTGCATTTGGACTTACTTTCCAGATCCTGGAAGGTAGCGTTTCCCGTCCCCCATCACAGGAGCTGTTTGGTTAGGTGACTGCAGTTAGTGCTTTTCCCTGGGACCTTGCTCTTACCTTTCCCAGCTTTGCCAAGTGCTCCATGCCACCCTGTCTGCCTAGGACTTGGTGCCAGGCGCTGGAGCAGGGTGGCAGGTCCTTCTACAGGAAGAGGAATGTGTGCTGGGTAGTGTCCACGTGCTGAGGCCAGAGGCAGTCGCCTGCAGACCAGCCCCATAGGGGAGGCACCTTGTTGACCCTTCGTCCCCAGACCCACAGCCAACAGCGGGCAAGGGCACCAAAGGCCCCTCCTAAGCAGCCCTGGCTTCCGGACCATTGAGCTTCTTTATTTGCGACAGCGCTGCCTGAGGGACGAGGAGAAAGGCTCCCTTCCCGCTTCCACGCCACCTCCTGAGCTGGTCCCTCTGTCCACATCCGATCGCTCAGCATCCTGACTGCACGGAAGTCGCTCCTCCCTGTATCTTAAAGCCGCCTTTCCCTCACACTGCTTCCCCCTCAGCCTGCAGATGCATGGTGTTGAGTGTGGGGGGAGACCGGTGCCAGGGGTGCCGTGCCTGCTGCTGTCAGGCACACGGTCTCTCCCCACTCCGGTGACCCCTCCCCTAAGAGGCGCAGTCATCCCTTAGGGTTCATCACCCTAGCACCCCACAGGTAGCAGAATCCACGGTGCTGGGTCGCTTCTATAAACGGCATGGGATGTGCATGGAATCTGCGTGTATCTCATTTAAGTCCTCTCTAGATTGCTTATGATACTCGTGCAACATAGTGCTATAGAAGTAGTTGTTGCACTGTATAGTTTAGGGGACAATGACAAGGAAAAAGTGTCCATGTTTAATGCAGAAGCAACCAGTTAATCCTTGTGGGCCTAGCTGGGAGCTTGCTGTGTCTTGGGCTTGTTGGGTGGAGGCGAGGTCTGCAGCCAGGCAGGAAGAGTAAGCAAGGCTGCAGTATTGAGGGGAGAAGAGATCGGAGCATTGCCTGGCAGACTTCACACAACCATGGGAGTGTCCTGTGCACATCACCGAGCACGTGGGACTGGAGGACTGGAGGTGTGAGTGCTGGCCACCATGGTCACCTAACTAAACAGCACCTTCCAGGATGTAGAAAATCAGTGCAAATGCAAAGTATGGGCTCCTCTCACACTGGGTTTTATTTTCCTTGTCTTGGGGGCCAGTGCTGGAGACTGAACCCAGGATCCCGTCCAGGCCAGGCAGGTGCTTCCACTGAGGCCCTTCCCAGCCCTGAAGGTTTGGTTTGGTTTGGTTTGGTTTGGACACAGGGCACGCTCTGTATTGTCTGGACTGGCCCTGAACTCCTGTATTTACACTGCCCTGCCTCAGCCTCCCAAGCAGCTGGGACTGCAGGAGTGTGCCACCCTGCCCAGCTCCTCCTTAAAGATTTAAGAACTCTAACATGGAGAAAAATTAAAAATAAAAACGAGGCCATCGGTCCATTCTCCTTTTAGGTCGGATGCCCAGTCCGGGGCCTGAGAGAGAACCTCCTCACCTCCGTGTTCGGACCTGTGCATTCTTATGGGATCTGAGCCTGTCTCCCTGCCCTGTGTCCCCTGTGGTGGGTGCAGCTCCCGATCCTGTGCTGATGGAGCGTTCTTAGTGTGCTGGCCGCGCCCTGGCTGCCTCACAACATGAGGAATGTGGGAATTTAAAATCCCATCTTCTACTCGAGGGTCTGAATGGCTTGTTTTCCTTACAGCCTCGTCTTGAAAGAAGAAGCGTCTGATTACCTCGAATTGGATACAGTTAAAAACCTTGTCAAAAAGTATTCCCAGTTCATCAATTTCCCCATCTATGTATGGAGCAGCAAGGTAAATTGGGGCTTGTTAGAAGGTGCATCACCTCGGCACCACCGCTAGAAGGATGTGGGGTTTGGGTGTATTTTGTTTTTTGTTTTTTTTTCCAGTTTAAGGATTTTTGTGGGGTTTTCTTACTAAAGACCTGTATTTTTGTCTGTGGTATTTTATATTTGGTGGACAACATCCATTATTAAACAAATGAGCTTAACCATAATTGTATTTCCTGCTCAGACCGAAACTGTCGAGGAGCCCCTAGAAGAAGAGGAAGCAGCGAAAGAAGAGAAAGAGGAATCAGATGATGAAGCCGCTGTAGAGGAGGAGGAAGAAGAAAAGAAGCCCAAGACGAAGAAAGTGAGTTGTTCTGTGGTCCGCGAGTCCTGGTGTGTGCGCCCGCGGGAGACAGGCTTCGGTTCCGGAAGTTCTGGCTGCATGTTGGGTGCTGAGTGTGTTGTCCTTTAGAACATGAAAAACCTGACCGGGATCTCACAGAGCTTCCGGACCTGGCAGCAGTGTTCTGAGCTTTAAAGTCCCAGGGAGCTTTGAGCACCCTCTTGTACCCTTTTACTGTGTTAGGGTTAAAGCAGTCCTGGCTTACTCGGGTAGCAGAGGGAGGACAACTATAGCTGGTAGTTGAGGAACCCTTATTACAAAATGTTGAATTTAAGTTACAAAATAGAGATCTATAGTAGTAACGTTCTAACCTCAGTTTTTGGGGGGAGGGTGTGGGTATGGAACCCAGGACCTTGCTCTCTGCCATTGAGAACCAAACTAGCTAACAGATATCCTTAGGATTTATATACTCTTGTGAAGCCTAGTGAAGTTACGGTTATTGGCTAGGTAACTGCTGATGAGTGTTAAGAAGCACTAACCAAATATTGTAACTTCAGGTTGAAAAAACTGTGTGGGATTGGGAGCTTATGAATGATATCAAACCAATATGGCAGAGACCATCAAAAGAAGTAGAAGAAGATGAATACAAAGCTTTCTACAAATCATTTTCAAAGGTAAATATTAAGTTGGAATTCCCTGGCTCCCAGTATGTATGAGCATACAACACATCACCCTGTTAGTTCAGTAGGGTGTGCTATGTGCCCATGACCAAGCCCAGCCCCATTATTTCCCAGTAAGATTCGAAAAGACATTGGCATGACTACCGTATGTCTGCTTCTAGGGTTATACATGAAATAGTCCTGTATCGATAGATACTTGATTGACTTATTCATAACTGAAATCACATGTAAATTTCATGTGACCCTTTGAGATTGTTTCCTTTGAGATAGATAGCCTTTGAGGACAGTAGGTTTCCAGGATTACAAAACCCTTAAAACATGAAATGTTATTGAAGAGCTTTTAAAGTATCTTTAGAGAGCTTGCTGGCAATGACAAAAACCACGTTGCATGGCCATACAATAATTGCTAAATCTGTTGTTTTTTTTTTTAACCAATCACTTCTTATGTTGATAAAGACTGTTTTAAGTTAGTGTTTCCCCAAACAGCATTTTGTACGAGTAATAGAATGTTTTAAAACTTAGCATAACTATGTAAAACTTAATATTTCATGATTATTTTTCTTCTTCACTCTTTACATACTGAGTTTCAAGACTGAAACTTTCCTTCAGCCCCTCCAGTTCTATCTCCGTGGACTCTACAAGACCTAACGTATATAAGCACAACTTGGACAGCTGTATAGCAGCACAGCCTGAGCCATATAAGTGATTTTTAAGTTTTTTAGAAGTCATAAAAAATTGGGACTAATAAATTTTAATACCAGCGTTACCCACAAGAGCATTATTTCAACATGTAAACATTTTAAAAATTGGGACATTTTACATTCTGTTTCTGTTGATTTATACTGTCTTCAAAATGCGTCTTGCGTGGTATGACAGGGTGTCACGATGCAGACCGCCTTGGGGCGTGGTGGATGGTGGGTCTCCCATTTGCCTGCCTGCCTCTTCGTGGCCGCTGCTCAGTACGAGTGCAGAGGGAGAGGCCCGGCCTGGAGCGCGTGCTGTCGGTCAGCATTGTGCGCGTTGGGTCTGCGCAGCTCTGTCCCGTGGGCACTGCTGATCGTGTCCGGTCTCACACGCGGGACCTGGGCTGAGCTTAGCAGATCCGGGACTGACAGCATCGGAGCGGCCTCGGCAAGCTGGCGAGGCTGCAGTCCTGGTCGTGCTTCTCTCGGGGCACCCCCATCCTGTTCCCCTGTTTTCATCTGGTAAGAGTCCTTTTTCCTGAATTCAACGCTCGTGCCCCCGAATGGACTGGGTCGCCGCTGCCCCATGCTGTCCTGTCCTGCACAGCTCAGCGCCCGTCTCTCCACAGGAAAACGACGACCCCATGGCTCACATCCACTTCACTGCCGAGGGCGAGGTGACCTTCAAGTCCATCCTGTTTGTCCCCACGTCTGCCCCACGTGGCCTCTTTGATGAGTACGGGTCTAAGAAGAGCGATTACATCAAGGTGAGTTGTTAAGCAGTGTGAACTGCGTGTGAGTGTGTGAGTGTGGTTGCCAGAAAGTGACCGCTCTCCGGTCGGCCCCTAGCTGTACGTGCGCCGAGTGTTCATCACGGACGACTTCCACGATATGATGCCCAAGTACCTGAACTTCGTCAAGGGAGTCGTGAGTACCCGGGGCTCGGGCTGGCTTTGCCGCAGTGTCCTTGGCGCCCGCTGAACCCTCCTTTGCCGGCCGCAGGTAGACTCGGACGACCTCCCTCTGAACGTGTCTCGCGAGACTCTGCAGCAGCACAAGCTGCTCAAGGTGAGGCTGCCCTGCCCGCAGGCCCCTGCCCTCCCTGGGGTTACCCTGCCTTGGGCTCCGACTCTTCCCTGCATGTAATGCTGACATGCAGACGCATAGAAAAGTTGAAAGACGGGCTTTGTCACGTAGCCACCTGCTTTTCAAAAACGTCCATTAGATCTTTTCCTTCAGGACCTTCACAACTGAAGTTTTTTATTTGGAAATAACCCATTTGCTCACTCGCTTAGATCCGAGAGTGTCTGATTCTTCGCATATGAACTTTCAGAGCGCTCTCGTGGCCTCTGCTGAGCCAGTGTGGGCCTCTTCCGGCTTTCCCACCCCGTCACTGGCTCCGTTCTGTCACCACTGCTCCACAGACCCCCACCTTCCCAGAGCTCCGAAGTAAGTGCCTCTAATCACTTACTCTTTCATCTTGTTCAGGTGATTAGGAAGAAGCTAGTCCGTAAAACCCTGGACATGATCAAGAAGATTGCTGATGAGAAATACAATGACACTTTTTGGAAAGAATTCGGTACCAACATCAAGCTTGGTGTGATTGAAGACCACTCGAATCGCACTCGTCTCGCTAAACTTCTTCGGTTCCAGTCTTCTCATCACCCAACTGACATTACCAGTCTAGATCAGTATGTGGAAAGAATGAAGGAGAAACAGGATAAAATCTACTTCATGGCCGGATCCAGCCGGAAAGAGGTGACTGGAATCCAGCCATCCGGGATCTTGGGAGGTAGCTGGGGATTTCTAGCCAGCTCTTGAGAGGAAAAAGGGAAAGCTCGTTGTGTGACTGGAGTAGTGAAGAGGTTTGGGAAGTCGCCTCGTAATTCTTCACCTCTCTGATGGGGCTGTCGGTGCTGTGTCTAAGAGAAAAACACGCCGAGGCCAGACTTGGAGAGCTCTGCCCCCCCCTTCATTTTGTAGGCTGAATCTTCTCCATTTGTTGAGCGGCTTCTGAAGAAGGGCTATGAGGTTATTTACCTCACGGAGCCTGTGGACGAGTATTGCATCCAGGCTCTTCCCGAGTTTGATGGGAAGAGGTTTCAGAATGTCGCCAAGGAAGGAGTGAAGTTTGATGAAAGCGAGAAAACCAAGGAGAGTCGGGAAGCAACCGAGAAGGAATTTGAGCCTCTGCTCAACTGGATGAAAGACAAGGCCCTGAAGGACAAGGTACCCTCCGGAAATGAGGAGCCACCGAGTGTTAGCTGCTCTTGGGGGGGACTGAACAAATCGTCTGTAACTGGTTCCCTCAAAGCATCAGTACTGTGAAGAACTGGTCTCAGGTGTGTGTAGAGCTCAGCTAGAGTACGATTTGGTGTTCAAGGGTCGCTTCTGACTGGAAAACTCAGGATATTGGGACAGCATCTCTTAAATCCCAAACCTGGATGAAATCTCCCTCGATGGCCTGCCCAAGGCATCTCGGAGCGGAAATGCAGTCCCTGGGTGGCCTTCCCTGAGGAAACTTGGCAGTGTCTAACTTGCTTTCCTGCCCCCAGATTGAAAAGGCCGTGGTGTCGCAGCGCCTGACAGAGTCTCCGTGCGCCCTGGTGGCCAGCCAGTACGGCTGGTCTGGTAACATGGAGAGGATCATGAAGGCGCAAGCGTACCAGACGGGCAAGGACATCTCCACAAAGTAAGAAGTCCTGGGGACAGTCCTGCCGATGTTGGCCCTCCCACCTGCTAATAATACACAGGGACGAGTGTGTGTGTCGGGGGTTCGTCTCAGAGTTCATGGGTGGAGAGGCCACACTCATCATTCTGTGCTATAACATCTTACACGCAGGTGGGAATCGCCTCAGTTTGCTACATACACTGTTTTTACTCTGCATTCTATTATCCAAACGTCATAATTAGCGCATCTGACCAATGAGACACCTCTGTGCCACAGCACTGACCCATTTGTGTCATCTAGCTGAAGTCTGAATCCCAAGGGGAGGACATTGCTGTTCAGAGCCCACTGTGGACTCAGTAAAAGGACAAGTTGGGGGGATGACAGGACCCTGAATCAGCTCATCTGCTCAGCGGTGCTATGGGTTTTCTCAGAGTTATTCTTGTAATTAGTAAATTAGAACAAAGGAATGTGTGAACCCTAGCAAGTGACATTTGGCTAACGCTCACCTTGTCCCTTAACAGCTACTACGCCAGCCAGAAGAAAACATTCGAGATTAACCCCCGGCACCCCCTGATCAGAGACATGCTCCGGCGCGTTAAGGTGAGCAGTTTGCAGCCTCCTGTGTACCCTTCTCGAGTTCGAACACCTCGTGTGTGTCGGTCTTCATCAGGGGCTCCCCTTCCCATCCTAGGAAGACGAAGATGACAAGACTGTTATGGATCTGGCTGTGGTTCTGTTTGAAACGGCGACTCTTCGGTCAGGATATCTACTGCCTGACACAAAAGCCTACGGAGACAGAATAGAAAGAATGCTGCGCCTCAGTCTAAACATCGACCCGGAAGCAAAGGTCTGTGTCCTCTGTGGCCAAGCCCTCGCCTAGGGAGGCACTGGGTTCCATCCCCAGCGCTACAGAAGCAGAGCAAGATATGTTGCTTTATTGGGGTACTGACTGTCAGGGATCTTTCACAATGAGAGTTCTCCTGCTCGGAGAAGTGTGCTTAACTCCTCCAGTGTGAAACGGTTTATTTAATCGTTTGTGTCCCCATTGTGTCAGGCGCCACAGAGGAGACTATAGAGAAGTCTCTCTCCGTGTCATCCCCGTTAGCCGAGGATGTAGTGGGCTCTGAGTAAACGGGTGACATCGTTGGTGAGCTTGTGTTCAGCTGGGCTCGGTGAAATCTCTCCCAGGCTCACGTGGGCTGCTGGGTGTCATCCTTAGGTCGAAGAAGAACCAGAGGAAGAGGCGGAGGACACAGCAGAAGACACAGAGCAGGAGCAGGACACGGAGCAAGATGAAGAGGAAGAAGTGGACCCGGGCACAGAAGACGAAGAGGAGGAGACGGTGAAGGTGGGTGGCGATGCGAATTGTTCTCGGCTGGGTGCAGTGGCGCTGGGGGCCGTTAGGGGCTTGACCTGAGCGAATCAGTCTCTACAGACCTACACACTCTTCCGTTCTCTGTCCACTTATTTACCCAGCATCCTGGACCTGCTTTTAAACAGGTTTTTCTCCTTAGCCCGCAGTGCTTCTCTGTGTCCCTACTTGCTATTTATTCTACACTTTTTTTCTGCAATTTTGATTATTTTATACAAGTTCAAGGGCTGATGATCTCCTTTCTGGGTTGTAAATTATTTTGCAACTACAGCTGAGATACTTGGAGATTGGCTCAGCTGACCTCAATTGTTTTTCTTTCTGCCAGCATTTTAACAAGCTCTGGTTTTTCTGTTTTCACAGAAATCTACAGCTGAAAAAGACGAATTGTAAATTACACTCTGGCATTAGCTCCTGCGTGGAGAGGCAATGTGAAGTCATTTCTTTTGAGAGAGACTTGTTTGGATGCCCCCACCCCCTGCTCCCCTGCACTGTAAAATGTTGGGATTGTGGGTCCCAGAAGAAGTGGGTTTTTTAGTTGAATTTTTTTTTTAACATTCCTCATGAATGTAAATTTGTACTATTTAACTGAATATTCTCGGTGTAAAATCTTGTCATGTGTATAAAAATAAAAAAGATCCCAAATACAGTGTTTTGCCTCTGTTCATCTTGCATCTCACGGAACTCCTTGGGTACTGGAGATTGAAGCCAGGGCCTCACATGCACGAGGCAAGCACTCTACCATGGGGCTGCCATCTGCAGCCCTCCTGCCTCTGCCTCCCAAGCAGATGAGATGACACACCCAGCTTTGTTATTTTGAAACAGCAGGCTAGGAAAAGATGTCTTACTTAATCGTGTGTGGATCAAGTTCTGTGAAACATAACTTATGTACTGTCTGTTTTGTTGACACAATTTTCCTGATAAGCTAGTACCCCTGTGGGCTGCTCGTATTCCTTAGGAGCTTTCTCTACCATCCTTCAGCATGCATAACCTTCAGGTATTTTTCTAGGTTCCTTTGCAGTAGCCCCTTTGACTTGACCAGCTTCCCTACTGGAATATGTCTCCTCCTGAAAGTACAACTAGGACTGACAGTGCTGCTCTACAGTGTAACGCTGGCTTAGCAAGAGCAAAGCCCTGGATTTGATCCCTTGCACATGGCACTGCACACAGAGACACTGCTTCAGTTTGTAGAGAATAGCAACTCATCATATTAAAATTCTAAATTACAGTTATCTCCACCGAAAAACATATTCAGCTTTTGGTACAAAAAAGTGGCTCTCACAGATGCCTTGTTAGAGTTTAACCTGGCCTAATTTACCCAACAGTTGCAACTGGTCTATCTTGTTTTTCAAATTATAAATTATTCAGAAAGAAGCTAATATGCTTAAAATGTTGGAGCTGTGGTGGTGCACACCTGGAATCCCAGCATTCAGAGACGACACAGGAATGTTCCGTCAGTTCTGCCAGCCTACAGAGTGAGACATTAAAGAGTAAAAAACAAAAATTTTTTTTTTAGCTTTTGCAGTGCTGGAGATCAAACCTGGGGCTGTACTTGTGCAAACAGTGCTCTTCCGCTGAGCCACCACCATCCTGGTTATTTGCAGCACTGAGGACTGAATCCAGGGCCTTTGCATTGAGCTCTGTGTCCTCAACTCTGAAATAATAGGGACACAGTCTCACTAAGTTGCTAAATTGCCTAGGCTGGGCTTGGAACTTGGAACCCTTCTGCCTTAGTCGCTCCGTGCTGGGAGCCCTTGGGGACGTGCAGGACTCACTGTACCATGCCCGCCGTTACAATGGGTGCGACTTCAACAAAGGAAGAAAATCACTCGGAACCAGCACTCCTGAAATAAAGACAGCACTTCTATTTTAGGCAAATTCTATTTTTAATTCTATAAATTAAATTAATTTCATCTTCACGAAGTCATTGACCTAGGAAATATGGGGTCCAAGCCACGACTTGCACAGCCTGTGAAGGAAGACAGGTGCTGCTCCATGCACAGATGGGCCGAGGGGCAGTGCTTCCTCCAGGCACAGGAAATGACTCCGGCCTTTGCTGGAAAGCAGACTCCTCTCCACGTCTACACACTGGCCAAGCTCACCGACTCAGGTGTGAATACTAAAACTGGTGGGGAAATGGAACTTGAAAAGAGCAGCTTAGCAATGGAAACTAAGAACTTCACTTAAGAATTCAATGAGTGAAACTAGTTTTATACTGACTTTATTGTTGATTTATACTACATCAAGATACCTTATTTAATACCTGTGGGAAGCCAGCCATGGCCCACTGGCTTTTTGAAAGATAACTTCTTTCTTTATAATCAAGGCATTGACACAATGTGTGGTCAGGATGTTCCTAATTAGCATTTGTTAACATTTGTTCCTTTTTGAGGACTGCACGTGTTAAACTTGTTTTTGACCCTGCACGGGAGAAACTCGGACAGCCAAAGATCTGTAGGAGTCAGGTGCTTCCTGTTAAAGATCTGACATTATCTGTAGGAGTCAGGTGTTGTAACTCCATTTTGTTAAGTTCCTCCACCTATTTGGGAATCATGATTATTAGTTGCAAGTGTTGTTAATTTGTTTTTCTTGAGCCTGATTTCTCTTTCCCGTGTGAACCCTCGTTCCCGTGGGAACCCTCGTTCCCGTGGAGCGGGTGTTGAGGTTACTATGGTAATCCTAGCCCATAATAGTTTGGTCTTTCCCTTTAAAAGGCTGATGCTTGCCTGCAATAAACGTCGCCTTGATCAGACTCTTGTGTTGCCGTTCTTTCTTTCTCTCTGCCCCATCTCCACCCCGCTGCTCTTTCAGGTTTGAGACACTGTTGGACAGTGCTCTGCGTCGCCGGCTCGCAACAAATACCCTTCTTGAAGCTGTTGCAAATTGAGGAAGTTAAGCACCTACATATGAAATCTTGAATATTCCATAAACTATTCTTGAACTATTTTAAAGTGTCACTGCTTGTATGCAGATATCCCCCCAAAGTCTTAGGGGGTCTTAGGTGGGGAGTTTCAAAGGTGGCTGGATTAGGGTGTATGATACTATGATACTGGGACTGTGTGTGATGCTGAGTTAAGGGTGGCCCGCCGTGTGTGTGTGTGTGTGGCACCACCCAAAAGGTGGGTAGCCTGGAAGGGTTTAAAGGGACAAAGAAGGCAGGCGGCTGCTGCCTGCCCTGCCATGGACTGTTTCTCCTCTGCCATGCCTTGGAGCCAGCTGACTATGGACTGAAATCTCTACACACTGAGCTAAATAAACCTTTCCTCCATTAGCTTTTGAGTGTCGGGTATTTTGTCTCAGGAACAAAAATAAGCCAGAAAATAAAGGTCTCAAACTTATGCTCTGAAAAAAGCCTTTGCAATTGTTAACAGTGGCAAGCTTCACTATTTCTAAGTATAAGTGTTTTTCTTTTTTTTCTCAAGCTAAACCGTTTAGTTTCCCTTGAAGAAATGACTGAAAACACACAATGACTGGAGAAACAAGGCTGAGAACAACACTGTGTTGCGGAACAAAACTGACCCTTTATAAGATACGGTAACGCAATGCCCCAGGTGGGTCTGCGAAGGCAGAGGTGTGAAATTCCATGCATACGGCTTCATAACTGCAAAAGAAAAAGAAAACTCCAAATAAATACCGCATATACATGATGTTCCTCTGCAGTGCGCTTCAGGAAGGGGGTTCCCGGAGCCCCCCTCAGTAAGCCAAGGACAAAACCCTGCAGACGATTCTGTCACCCAAACGAACGTCAGGATTCAGCAGTCTCTGGTCTCCGCTAGGTGCTTCTGGCGGCCGACAATCTCCAGGTCCTCCGTACCTGCACAAGCCAGCTCCGCCTGCCTCAGCACTCTTGGCCCCAGCCAAGCTCCTGAACGTGCCGACGTGACATGACACCATGGTTTCAGGGCCAGTGGCCACCTTTTGACTACTGGGAAATGATCTCAGGCGTGGCTGTAAGAGACCTACGATTTGCATGAACAGCTGACAGTAAATGAGATGTGGAATAAATGCAAGTAACTTGTTTGGACAGTGGCAGATTCAACTGCTGCTGACAATATTTGGGGGTAAAAACATGTGAGTCAAGGTTTGCTGTACAAGATGCGGGAAGGCATAAAACGAGCCCCAAGTTCGGTTTCTGCGCTTCGTTTCCTTGTGATTCCCCTGATCAAGCGCTGGAGTGCGTAGTGTTTGAACTGCTCTAGGAATCTGAGGAAACCTCAGTTAATGGGGAGTTTTAAAAAGAGAAGGGAAGCCATCGCTCAAGCGCCGGGAGGTAGGCCGGCCCCGATCCACCACGGGAAGGAGAACCACGCCTGCTCCCGACCCAGCCACCATCGCTCAAACGCTGGGAAGGTAGCCGTGTGGGCACCCCTGAACCCCCATAAACCCCCCCGCACTCTCCAACCTCCTGACTGTGCAAGTCTTTGGACCCACTCTTCAAAGACAGAGGTGGTCATCAAGGGTATTTTTCTGAGTTCCCAACTTTGAACATCTTTAAAGAAAGGGCATGGGAAACCTGTAATAGAACGTTGCAGAGTTCAGCCATTCAGAAGGATGGGGAACTCAATCTGGGCCTTGCAGCCCGAGGTCAGTCAGCGTCATGGGGTTCACCCATCAGCTAACTGAGATCAGGGATCTTGCATTCTCGCTCTGTCTGAGCCATTAAATGGTAAATACACTATATTGAAAAGTTGTTCACTGCAGACATGTTCTGGACTGCTTCTTGATTTCAATTTAATCCAAATGATGTAAAGGTGATAGACTAGTGACTACCACAGGTGGTTGTGGGAAGCCAGCTATGGCCCACTGGCTTTTTGAAAGATAACATTTGTTCCTTTTTAAGGACTGCACGTGTTAAACTTGTTTTTGACCCTGCACGGGAGAAACTCGGACAGCCAAAGATCTGTAGGAGTCAGGTGCTTCCTGTTAAAGATCTGACATTATCTGTAGGAGTCAGGTGTTGTAACTCCATTTTGTTAAGTTCCTCCACCTATTTGGGAATCATGATTATTAGTTGCAAGTGTTGTTAATTTGTTTTTCTTGAGCCTGCTTTCTCTTGCCCGTGTGAACCCTCGTTCCCGTGGAGCGGGTGTTGAGGTTACTATGGTAATCCTAGCCCGTAACAGTTTGGTCTTTTCCTTTAAAAGGCTGATGCCTGCCTGCAATAAACGTCGCCTTGATCAGACTCTTGTCTTGGACTCCTTCCTTTCTCTCTGCCCCATCTCCACCCCGCTGCTCTTTCAGGTTTGGGACATTGCTGGACAGTGCTCTGCGTTGCCAGCTCGCGACAGGTGGTCAGTGTCCAAGTTGTGCTTGATCTCAATGTGTTGCTGATTGTATCATTTGGGGTAAAGCATTGCCGTTGATTTGATGAGCTGTTTTCTCTGATGTTATGAAGATGAGAAT